AAGATCTCAGGAGCCAAGGGTTACAACTCCCAGCAGAGCCTGACCTGACTTCCTGAACAGAGGATCACTGGGAACTAGGGGTGGAGTTAAGAATGGTTTGTAATTGAACATTTTTCCTGTTTTTCCTCTTTTGTTTCTGCAGCCCCAACTTGCCTGAAAGAACCTTGGGCGAGGGACATGTAGAGAGGCTGCTGCTGGTCCCAAGCAGAGACAGTGACAGTCATTATCTTGAATTCATGATGGATATGTGGTATATCTTGCATTCTCTCTATTTCCTTCTGTTCCAGCTATCTGGAACCTGCCTAACCCCCTTTCTTGTGGTTCCTTGCCAGAAGGTGCCTCTGAGACTTATGGCAGGCTCTCAAGCCTCAGTCACCCCACTTTGAGCCAAGTCTATAAGACTGGTATTTTCCCATGAGGGAATGGGTAATTTTTGGAGGTTTTTTTTTAATTAATTTATTTATACAAGCACTAGGTACAGTCAGAAGCGCGGGAGGGTGAGAGAATTCACCAGAGCCAGAGCGGGGAGCAGAACAGGCAGAAGGATTGAAGTACACTGCTGAGGGGAGCAGCGGGTGGCAGGAGAGGTCTGCTTGCCATGTGGGACCCTTGCCAGCGGCCGGGGATCGAACCGGTGCTGCAGAGTCTGTGGACAACTTCGCAGCCCAACACTCAACCGCTGCGCCACCAAGGGAGGCCCAATTTTTGGAGTTTTATGGGGAAAATATTATTTGAAATCCTTTCTTCTCTCTCTCTTTCTTTAGACACCAATCCTATTAAAAATTGAACACAGGGCCTACCCAGTGGTGCAGCTCGTTGAGCGCAGCGCTGTGAAGCTGTCCACAGCCTCTGCAGTGCCAGTTCGATCCCTGCCAGCCTCGGAGCAACCCACATGGCGAGCAGACCTCTCCTGTCTTGCCTGCTGCTCACCTCAGCAGTGTATTTTGTTAGGCTGCCTGTTCTGCTCCCTGCTCTGTTCTGCTCCCCGCTCTGTCTCGGGTGAATCCTCTCACCTTTCCGGGCCTCTCCCCTGTACCCAGGGTACCCCTGTACCCCTGTACTCTTGTGTAAAAATATATAAATATTAAAAAAAATTGAAGACACTAAGAGACTGCTTACTTTGCCTCTGTGCTCGTGAAGTTCCCCTGCAGTTGTCCTCTAACAAGATTGTGTTTCTCTGTTTTTTTCTCAGGTATCAGGAAGGACAATTAGCTTTTTGGTTTCATAAATGAATCTGAACCACTTAAAGAAAGACCTGTCAGGACCCAGTAGAGCTTGAGACATAACAAGAAGAAATGGTGAGGATGAGCGGGTTGAAAATAATGGGTAAGCCCACATTTTATTCTTTCTGTATTAAGATGATGTTAATAACTTATCACCTGGAGATGAGCAGCTTTGCTTTTTTTTTTTCCTCCCTAGGAACAGGGATAGATACTTGCCCATTAGTGCATATCTTCATTATCCAGCTTATAGCGAAAATGGTATGAGTCTGCAGGTGCTGGCTGTGACACGAGCAGGTACACAACTTGTTCTCATGGAGACAGCTGTCACCAGTTGGCAAAGGGCCACAAGAGACAGCAGGAGGAAGACAACACCAGCATCCTCAGAATGGTGTGCTGTTTCCCTCCCCCAGCCTCTCCACTCTGTCCCTCATGGCCCCTCGGGAAGTCCTCCACTACATCCTTTTGGAAAAGTCCACAGAAGGGGCTCAGGAAATTGAAACCAGCCCTCACTGTGCTCTGGTGTTGGGCTTATCTTCAACTTCAGGAGGGATGTTTTTCTAATTCTCTGGGCCCCACTCCATCCCACCACCTGAAAGAACGCCTTTCCCGAATTTTTACAAAGATTTAGTACAGGCGAGGAGCAAACCAATGGGAGGATGGTTCATTTCCATCAACAAATCATGGTGCCTTTTAAGTGTCAGGTAATCCCAGTTTTCCAAAGGTACCCACATGCAAGAGATAGCACAATCACTGGACTTCCTCTGAGCACAGTGACTATTCCAGTGATCATTTCTCCTGTCAAGAACTTGGAAATTAGAAGTGTTTACCAGCAAATTTAAAAAAAAAAAAAGAAAGAAAAGATACTACTATATGAGCATAAACCACTCCAGGAATTTCACATGGTCAGGCTGTAAGTTTCTCTGCTACTTTTTCTTTTCTTTTCTTTTCTTTTTTTTTTTTTTAAGATTTATTTATTTATGCATACGAGAGCTGGGGCACAGGCCAGAGGTGTGGAGGGTGAGAAGATTCACCAGAGACAGAGTGGGGAACAGAACAGACAGACTAACTGAAACACACTGCTGAGGGGAGCAGCGGGCAAGTCAGGAGAGGTCTGCGGTGCCATGTGGGTAGCTCCCTGGCCAGCTGGGGATCAAACTCGTGCTGCAGCACTGGGCTGTGGATAGCTTCATAGGTTGCATCTTAACCCCTTGCGCCTCTCTGCTACTTTTTCACTTACCCAGATCATTTTAGGCATCTTATAAAGGAAGAAGAATGGGCACCATCCATTTTTGAGAGTTTTATTTGTTTGGGATCAATAGAGAAAAAAAGTGATACTCCACAGGAAATGGACTTATTGCTACCATTCAGGGGAAGGGACTGAAGTGAAGGGAAAAAACATCTGTGTCTGTGACCCTGTGGCTCCCAATTCATACATCTCCACACGAATGTTCTGCCGGCCTACCCACCAGTACTCGTGTGCTGGTGATGTGATGTTGCCTTTTTCCTTCTTAAACAAGATCTGTCTTCAGCAGTCACTTTTTAAACCTCAGCTACAGCAACTTGCACATCTGGTTCACCTTCATTGTCTTTTCCAAATGTTCTCAGTTCAAGAGGGATGGGGAAGCAGGTCTTTTTCATTACTGGACTCTCAATAATCTTCCCTTGAGGAGATTGCTTCACTCCAGGAGAAATGACTCTATTTTGGGCCTCCCCAGTGGTGCAGCGGTTTGAGCGCAGTGCTATGAAGCTGTCTGCAGCCTCTGCAGCGCCGGTTTGATTACCGGCCGGCCAGGGAGATACCCACATGGCATGGCAGACCTCTCCTGTCTTGCCCGCTGCTCCCCTCAGCAGTGTATTTCGGTCCTTCTGCCTCTTCTGCTCCCCACTCTGTCTCTGGTGAATTCTCTCACCCTCCCGTGCCTCTGGCTTGTACCCCAGTGCTTGTATAAATAAATCTTTTTAAAAAAAGGAAATGACTATTTTATATTTTCTATTTCTCTACCCTGTAGCGACATGGATAATAAGTATCTGTTATGAAGGTAATTATAAGGGCTACAACTGAAAAACAGCACATAGTAGGCACTCAATACATGTTGGTATACTTTCCCTTTGATGCTGAAGAAGAGTAGGTAACCAAGCATATTCTTCTCTACCTGGACAGTACAATTTTGGAGACAAGGGAAAGGTAGCTGTTCCAGACACTAGGGGAAAATCAGGAGGGGCCAGCCTGCTTGTATAACAGAATTAGCATTGACTATGCAGCCTTCTGCAATTTAATCGTCACTGGAGTCTTTAGCGCCACCTAATTTTGTTTGTCATATTAGGATATGTGATGGGGGTGAAGGCTGGTGTTTACCAGACATAGCAATTCAGGGTAGCTAGCTGAACAAGCTAGTTTATGGCAAGGGCTAAACCTGGGTCCCCATCCTAAAATGTCAGAAACTTCTTGGTGGTTCTGTTAAGTCTACAATTCCTCTTGATACACAGGCACTGATTCTAGGCTCTGTTCATGTTAGAGTCCCTCAATGCACCACAATTTTTGACCTCCCTTTGCACATGCTTTTTCTATGGTTGAAATGTCCTTCCATCTTTTATCTTCCCATAGAGTCAACACCTACTTCTAGAAAGCCTTTCCTGTATCTTCTCTAACGGGTTAGGGTCCACCCTTGGTCCCCCAAAGCAGCCCAGTCTGCCTCTATTATTGTCCTTACCCTACTATAACAGTCCCACTGTTTCTCAGACTGTCTCTCCGCTAGACATGTGCTCCCTGGCTTCACAGTAGTCTTTAAGTAAATGAAGGTACAATATATGTGTTAAATGAATACACGAGTGAGTGTGAGAATAAAACCCAGGATTGGAAGACAAAGTTCAGAACCCAGCTTCCTATATAATCCTTTCTTTCATAATGTCCTCTGTCGATTGCCAAATAAATAGCTAGCTTTAATGGCGACTAGGGAAACTTGAGTCTTTATAAGAAAAAGGGAGTTACTGGTCTGTTATCTCTTCAAGCTGCCATTTATTTGCACTTCTGGATAAGACAAAAATTAATTTGTAGTAAATACATTATTAACTACAGAGAGAGTCTGGGCTCTCAAGAAGAGGGTAAGCTTGTTAATACATCATTACACCTATGTATTGACTAAAAACAAAGCATTGGCTCTAAAAAGAAAGCCACATACCTCTCCCTACTACTATCCTCATTGGCCCAGGTTCTGTAAACACTATCACTGACATATGCCTTGTTTAAACTCCGCCACGATCCCTGCAGTTCTGCTGTATGCAGTATTGGATTTTCTTCCATGAAGCTACTGTAGGCAGAGATGGAACATAAGAAGAGCTTACCCTGTTCTGAACCAAAATACCAAAATTAAGTCTTAAAGGGACCTCTGCACCCTGAATAATATAACCATCTACTGCTAAGTCTGTAATTAAGAACTAAACCTTCTCACATTAAGGCAGAAACCCCTTTGCAGTGACATTACGAGGCTATGACACTTACAAACCAACTCCTCAAACCTCTGTGCAAAACTGGAGCCTCAAATTTTTGTAAGAAAAGTCTGGCCATAAATATATTTGTGATCAATTCACTGCTTGCAAGACAATTTCCCCTGTTTTAGGGTAGCCGCCAAAAGATTGGAGAACAAAGTCTCTGACGGTCTGCCCTTAAGCTCTGGCTTTTCTCCTGGGCTGAGCCCACATAGATAGTCACCACGGGGTTAGCAAGAGGACGCTCATGCTACCCACGTGACCCTAGGTAAGGGCGGGACGCTTCCTGACCTTGTGCAGCTCCACAGGTGTTGGCGACATGATCTCCTTTATTTCTTGTTTCATTTTTCTCAGGGTGACGGACTTCCTGCCCACATCCGAGGGCAGGGTGTTGCTCCGAGTTGTCTGACTGTAGTGTGGCCGAGAGCTGCCCCGTTCCTGGAAGCTGGCCTGTCGCCCCAGCTGACTGCGAGGTGTTGGGGCCTCATGATTCAAACTCATCGTGCTCCCCGACATAATTGTTGCCTGCGGCATTGACAATTTTCAGAAACAATTAAACCATGGACTAAGAAAAGGGTTTGGTTGTTCAACTTTAAGCACATTTCTCCTTCCACCCAGTCAAAATACAGTCTCTTCAGGGCATAAACAAAGGCCGGAGAATGGACGCACTAATTGAACTATGGAAGTCTAGGAAAATGCTTTGCAATTGACATTTACAATGTGCATCTTAAATCCAATTTAAGTACTTAAGTGATTCAGTTTATTTAATCAAATACCACTCCTGGCAGTTTTGAGGCAAATTGAAAAGCGCTAACATTTGCTTACTGCAAACTACATTTTAAGCATTAACTTTCCATTGAGTGGGCTCAACAGATGGGATTCAGGAGGCCCCTTCCAATACATCTTACAGAAATGAACTGAGAACTTCTCAGTGGGGACCAGGCTGTTTCCAGTCCCAACTGAACGTCGCAGTTGGCTGAAAAGAAGGGCTATAGTGATACGCAACCAAAGGCTTCCACCATGCCCCCTGCCAGCAGATATACCATCTTTCCTTCACCAAGTGGTCTGCCCCAGAAAGTCTGTGGAACAGCTTGGCCTCCACAACACAGGTGTAGGTCAACATTTCTTAAAGAAATAGCCTCTGTGTAAGCTCTTCCAGACTGGATGAAGAGAAATCATTTATTATGCTGTAGACTCAACCCTTTGCTCAAAAGCTATGAGACTAGGAGTGGATTTTACCAGTGAATTGGAAAAGTCTGCTCAGTTTCAAATATGCTCCCTGTATAACTCATAAGGGATGGCAAGATTAGATTCCAAATATGAATGAGTGTCAGAAGTGGATTTGAAACTAGTGTGATTTGGGGGATGCTCATTTCTCATCATTAGAGGTTGCTAGACTTTTGAAAATATGCTGGCAGCCAGCTGTGTAATCTAATCTGATGGTTATATGAAGGTAAACTAGCATCAGTGACTCTACCTGAAATCATGGGACTAGAATGCAAGTTCTATTGTGTATGTCATATTGCTGGGTACAACATGAGTCAGTGGTTTACATTAATCACAATGCTAAAAACAACAGAAGCATAATTTGTTGAGTCCTTTGAATGTATTCACCCATTTAATCATGTAGTGAAGTAGTAAGTACTATTGTCCTTCTTAATGTACAGGTGACAAAACTGAGACACAAAAGGTCCGATTGATCCAAGGTCACCTACATAGTAAATGAGCCAAGGACACTATCTAAAATTATTGCTGAGGAGGGAATACAGCAATTGGAAAAACCTAATTTGTTATCTTTCTAAGATTTTATAATTCCAAGATTCACCTGGTCTTCAGCTCTACACACACCACTAACAAGATCTTTGAATGACAGCCAAGTATAGGAGCAAATGTAGATATAGCTACAACTCTGTTGGGAAAAAAAAACAAAATAAGTAAAATTACTAATACTCTGACTAGATCAGTTACCTCATTGATACTTTTGAAAAAAAGAAAATTATAAAAGTAAGTTACTGCTCATTGAACATTGATATATGATAAGCATTACATATATGTATGTCTATAAAGTATTATTATTGTTATAATAACCACATAGGGTAAGCATTACAATTATCATATCACTCCATTGTAGTGAAGGCAAGGGATGACTGGATAAGTTAAGCAACCTTTGTAATCTGACTCCAGAACCTTTATTCTTGACTAGGGTATGCTGCTTCTCAGTCAAGTATTAGTTCAAAACATAAAAATGACTTTTTAGTACATAAAACCCCCTCATGTTAAAATCAGCGTGGAGTCTCCATATTATGGCTTATTTCAGGGGGAAAAAACTTTTAAAAGTGGACACTTTTGATTATTAACTTTGTTGATGACATGGAATATCCTTTCTTAGCACCTAATTCCCATAGGTCATTTCTTAGTTTAATCTACTATCACTGAAAGCACCCAGTTTTCTTACTGCAGTGATCATCTGTTTATTGTTTTCATCTACTCAGACTAGTTATTTGCTTTGAAAACGTCTATTTTTTATATTATTTTTTTTATGAGAACAGCAGGAAACATATTGGAAGAAAAATACTTAACCATTACAACTTGGAGAAAACTGTTCTGCTCTGGTAAGTCTCAGCCACACCAGAAGTTATAAAGCTGATCTAGAAAGGGTTCTGATAGAAGAAAGCACATATTCTCTGTACTCTTTAATTCAAGTTTCAAAGCACAATTTGACTGCTCAAAGAGAACTTCAATTGACTTAGTGACATTTATGAAGGAACATGAAAATTAACACACAAATATAAAAACTAGAAAAGTAAAAAAACAGCTATTTTAACTTCTCTAGGATTTGTATTTGCTTCAAGAGTATGTATTGCCTGCTTGCTTTTGGAACAACTCACAATTTACAGTTATAATTTTCTCTTTCAAAATTATCATCAAGATAACTGATACTATGAGGGGTATGTCCAAGAGTTCACTGATGTTTAGTTAAGCCTTCCTCTGTTATAATAATAATTACAGCAAAGTTCATTCACCAAAAAATGAAAAAAAAAAATTCTATTGAGGGCCTCCCCGGTGGCGCAGCGGTTGAGCGCTGGGTTGCGAGGCTGCCTGCAGCCTCTGCAGCCGGTTCAATCCCCGGCTGCTCCCCGGCCACCGGAGGAGGGTCCCACATGGCACGCGGACCTCTCCTGCCGCCCGCTGCTCCCCTCAGCAGTGTCCTTCGGTCCTTCTGCCTGCTCTGCTCCCCGCTCTGGCTCTGGTGAATTCTCTCGCCCTCCCGCGCTTCTGACTGTACCCAGTGCATGTATAAACCAAACAAACAAACAAATAATAAATAAATAAATAAGACATGCCTCTAGAAAATTAAAAAAAAAAAATTCTATTGAACAATTTACTAAGTAACAAGTTGTGTTAAGTGCCATGTAAACATTACTCATTATCATTTCCATAATTTAAAGAAGTATCTGATAAGAGAGATTAAGTAACTTATTCCATGTCTTAATTTGAATCTTTCTTTTTTGCTAAAACTCACTTTTCAGTGCTAAAGTAGAATCTAAATTATTTCTATTCAGTGGGGAATATGACTAGTATAATTTTCATTTTTATTTCAATTGTAATAATTTTTCATCTTAGCTAATTTTCTAAATTTATTACAGTTACAGTATGCTTTAACTTTTTATACTGGATGTAAATTTCATATGCATAAACCTAGCTCCAATAATACTTCTTGATGGTAGCATTTCCAATCAAAGGATCAGAGTTCATTTAAACCAATAAATGAATATTCTTTGTGATAAAAGTGTAAAGACTAATTTATGGATTTGCCATTCACTCTTCTTAGTTGAGGCTTTAATTTCTGTTGCTTATAAATTCAACCTGTTTCCTTTCTAAATTTATAATCACAAGAGCTACCCCTACCCGAAGCTCTTAGAGAAAACAAATATTCTGGTACAATATAACTCCGGTGCTGATGGTTTGTTTTCATTAGATAATTCAATTTCTGGATGAAAGCACAATCTCATTGTATTACTTCTTACATCATTTTCATTTTACCTAATATAAAAAGAAGTCTTTAAAAGAATAAATAACTGCACCTTCAAAAGAGAAGTGTCAAATGCACAATGAAAAAGGTGTTTGAGCCAAAACCTGCTTCCAAAAGCAACAGTATGTTCAAAACTTGTGAACTCAGTTCATTATTCCATTTTGAGCCCCTTCTGCTGGTTATTCTACATACAGGAAGTGGTACAAGTTTAAATAAGCCAATGCTATTAAAGCATTCTACTCGTTTTGAAAGTTGCACAAAAAGGAATCAATTACTAAGATTTTAATATATTTTCTATAGGAATATCCATCTCCAGGTCCTTTCCCTGTGCTCTGAAGCAGAAATTCATGCCACGTAATACTGTGATGTTTACAAATTCAAACTAAGAGTTTTCTTCAGAGCTCTCTTTGCAGATCCACAAACATTAGAATCACATAAAGTATCCACACATGCAATTGAGAAGCAAAATAATATAAAGATGAGTAATCATTTTTGAATTGCAAGTTTCACCCAGTTATGCCATTCACATTCCTTATGGTGACTTGGGGACCTCATATGACATCAAAATAAAAATGAGACTTTTGCCATTTTATTTTTTACAGCTCAGAAAATTTAAAAGAACATAAAAGGAAACAGTCCAGGACTTCCTAGACCAAAGTGTGAGCACCATCAGCAAATTCATAGCTTTGATCAAAGAACTCCCCAGGAGCTCAGCTATTACCCTCTGTCTCACCGCAATGTCTCAAATTCACACTAAGTTAATACAGAATCGGGATTTGCAATTCACAGCAAAATACTGTGTAATGTTTTGGCTGCTTATTAAACAGTGGTCTTTTTCACCATTGTCCTCTACTTTAAGGGCAAAACAAAATAAAATTTCCTCTTATGTTCCTCTTAACAATCAAATTAATTTCTATACCAGGTACAAATGAAAACATGCCAAAGAAACCTTTCTAAAGCAAGATAGAGAATGAGATGTGCCACTGCTGGGAGACTTAGCTCGCTCCTTAGCAATCTGGTGGGACACAGATACAGTCAGGGTTAGCAGGGAGCAATGGCAGAAGCCACAAGTCAGTAAGCTCGGGGGTGGGAGGGGGTGGCAGTGGGGAAATAAATACTTTCAACTGCATTGTATAAAATCAAATTGCTATCCAGAGGCAAGGGGGCAGGGAAGGCAGCTTCACAAGCAAAAATATAAACAGAAAGGGTAGCTACCAAGAGAGTCATGTTTCTCAAAGACACACGCCTGTCAGCTTTCTCCTGTGGAAAGGGGTTAAAGCTTTTAAATGAATTGGTGTGATAAGTGCAAACTCAAAAGGACCAAAAACATGAATGTAGAAACAATAAAAGTAAGTAGCGGGGCCAAGGCTACCTCGAGTTCTCTCAGAATTCCTGATTGTCCACAGGTCTCCAAATCCTCCAGTGCTTGGGACCAGAAGTTCTCTTCTTGCTCGGCATCCGTCCCATCAGTAGCCCCTACAAAACTGTCATCAAAAACACAGTCTGGCTTAGGAACATGCCAAATATTTTTTTTTCCTGTGTCGAGAATCTCTTTCATCTTGTACAAAAATACAGCAAATTTAATTTGGACCTGTCTTTCCTTCAGCTGTGATCTCCAAGTAAGGCCAGTTCCAAGGTACCAATGCTTGAGGAAACTCAGGGTGCAGAAGAAGGGGAGGAAGGGACCCGGACTCCCTAACTGCATTTCTGAACTTGCCCCATTGCTGCTGAGCCAATGTCAGTAACGCATCTGTGTGGGAAGATCTTTCAGCTGCCCCATGGACAAGGAAAAGTGAATCAAACTTTTTTCGAGAGAAAAAAATGTGTTTTCCCACTTACTATAAGCATTAACACAGATCAGCTAAGTGCTTTTGCTTTTAATGAATTTCCCTAAAATAGTTTGGAAAGGAATAAAATGCTAAAATATAATGGTTACTAATCTGCATCCTTTTTTTTTTTAAATGTAAGTTAACTTGAATCTACCTATAAAATAAACAAAAGGTAATTAGAGTGAGTATTGATTGCAGCTGATTTCTCCCTTGTGCTATTGTTTTCATCAGGGAACTTCTGGCTCTGTCCCTGGCGTGTGTGTGTGTGTGTGTGTGTGTGTGTGTGTGTGTGTTGGGAGGAGGGTGCAGGCAGACTTCTGCTGGGCAGGCACAGGTTCTAGAATCCTGCCATGGGGCTGCATGGATGCGTAAGGTGGTTTCAAGGAGGCAATGCTGGCATGCTGGCATTCTCTATGTGCCATGGAAAGTAGAGGGGTTCAGATCTGGCCCCTAAAACCCCACAGCAGTCTGGATGGAGCGGTAGCTGGTGTGAAAGCTTACCCGCTGACTGTGGACCGGTCCCAGTCTTCATTACTCAGCCCCACATCTGGGTAAGTCTGGCTTCGAGGCTTAGCGACTGGCGACAAGCTGCCTCTCTGCTTAGGACTCCTCCAGTCATAGGTGTTGAAGTTGTAGCCCGAGGCCTGAAAGCCAGTGCCTGCAACAAAAATAGGGGGTTATATTCTGTTTCTGAGAATATCTGCAAAAGGGTCTGTGCAGGGCCTCCCCGGTGTCCCAGCGGTTGAGGAGCTGGGCTGCAAAGCTGCCCGCAGCCTCTGCAGCACCGGTTCAAGGGTCCGGCCACCGGCGAGGGTCCCACATGGCACGCAGACCTCTCCTGCCGCCCGCTGCTCCCCTCAGCTGTGTACTTTGTCGATCTGACTGTTCTGTTCCCCACTCTGGCTCTGGTGAATTCTCTCACCCTCCCGCGCTACTGTACCCAGTGCTTGTATAAATAAATAAATCTTAAAAAAAAAAAAAGGGTCTGTGCAGTAACTTATCTTTTCCTAGGGTTTCCCTTGGTTTGTTTGAGGGGGCTGCCTTGAACTGAACTTGGGATCATAAAGTCATCGTGATGGTGTGTCCACATTCACACATATTACCCCCACTGATTCAAACAGTCCTGAGGTCAGACCCCTAGACTGTAGGTCCAAGATGGAGGGGCCCCAGAGCTGCGCCTGTGTTTTGCATATTTGGAAAGTGCTGTCCTCTTTCGTTTCAGTAGGAAACTGCTAGGCCAGGAGCTACACATCCAAGACCTATACCCAACGTTTTTCAGAGCAAGCTGTGAAAGTCTTCATCCTAAATTTCATTTCCAGATAGTCCTGTGTCCACCTCCGGGGTGGATGCCTCCCAAGTCTCTCGACAGTGGGATTTCCCATCAGATGTGGATTAAAGCCCTCAGGAGTGTGCAAGAGGCAGCTGGCTGTGCAGGTGTGGCTGGAGCTTGGATACGGCTCTGGGGCCCCCCATGTTAGGGATGAGTCTGTAGATAACTTTATCCAATGAGAAACAGCACTGTAGTGAGCTGGAGGGTCAAAAACAAGAGTGAGCACAGAGTGGGTATTCACTGTGTACTCAGAATTTCATTAAGTGCTTTACTTGTGTCACCTAATTTCTTCTTCTTAACTGTCATCAAAGATAGGTACTACCATTTGCATTTTACAGATGAGGATACGAAAGGCTTAAATCAATGGGGATCTCTGCAATATTCCTGGGGGTTCCCAGCATAGCTGGTGGAGGATGGAGTTTCAGAAGTCAAGTTCCACTTCCCGCTGACTTGACTGAGAAAGCCCCGGGGCCTGGGATCTGCCAGTTCTCCCTCCTTATTTCCCCTTTCATAATGGGTTTTCTGTCATTCTTTTAAAAAGATTTATTTATTTATGCATACAAGAGCTGGGGTACAGGCCAGAGGTGTGGCGGGTGAGAGGATTCACCAGTGACAGAGTGGGGAACAGAACAGGCAGATCTACTGAGTACATTGCTGAGGGGAGCAGCGGGAGAGACAGGAGAGGTCTGCTGCGCCATGTGGGTAGCTCCCTGGCAGGCCAGGAAACGAATTGGTACTGCAGTGGCTACAAATAGCTTCATAGGTTGCGTCTTAACCTTGTGCCTCCAGGGAGGCCCGGGTTATCTGTCATTTTACAAATGAAAGACACATTCTACATCCATCTGAAACCATGGAGGGAGCTTGGCTCTGGGATATAAAAACTCCCAGGAGCCAAATCGGGGCAGTTTGGGAGAACCACACTTCTGGGCCGGGCCCCTCAGAAGCAGTGCTTCATCTCCGCCAGGCTGCGATTCACGACCCGGCGCCTCCTGCTCTCATCCACATTGCAGAACTCAGAATTGCGGTGTTGGGGTTGGGGAGGTGGGCGCTTTATTAGTTTTATTTGAATTGCAAAATGAAAACTGATTTCCTTTCTGGGAGTTAAGTCTGATTAACTTGATGGTTGAGAAAGAGAGGAATGGCTTTGGCAGTTAGGTTATATAATGGATATTTTTCATGAATCTGAGCTGAATCACACACACATTACAATAAACTGATTGCGGGCCTCGCGGGGGGGGGGGGGGGCGCAGCGGTTGAGCGCTGGGTTGAGAAGCTGCCCGCAGACTCTGCAGCGCTGGTTCGATCCCTGGCTGCTCCCCGGCCACCGGAGGAGGGTCCCACATGGTGTGCAGACCTCTCCTGCCGCCCGCTGCTCCCCTCAGCAGTGTACTTCATTGGTCAGCCTGTTCTGTTCCCTGCTCTGGCTCTGGTGAATTCTCTCACCCTCCCGCGCTTCTGACTGTACCCAGTGCTTATATAAATAAATAAAAATAAATCTTAAAAAAAAACAATAAACTGATTGCAAGTGGTTACATTTGTGATGGTGTACGCAATTTTTCAGAGTTCTTTTAGGGGAGTTCAAATGAGCTTGTCGGCAGGGATGACTCTATAACTTGGGCTGTAACTGCCATACCTGGCTTCATTCACCAGGTTGCTATGACCCATTATGAATAGTAGTCTGTGTGTGGTGTGTTTATATGTGTGTACTGGCTTGCAATAGAATATATTATTTCTTGCTGTGCTTAGAAACACTTAATATAGCAAATAGGTAGAGCCCCCTGCACTCCCCCATCATGTAAGATGACTGTGTCTATCATGTCCCAGTTTCCTCCTCTTCATTCCTTGTCCCTCCACTGGCGGGATCCTATCACGCCATCCTCACAATTAGTTGAAGCCCAGGAAAAGCAGATGTAAAAGTATAAAGCTCTCTGATCAAAAGGGTTTGATCTACTGAACCCCAGGACACACTCACAGCCACCTGATAGGAACATTCTGCGAAACTTCTTTGAGGACACCAAGGATTAAAAGCCTTTGGAGCAGAGGAGACATTTACAGGTCACATCTCATTTTCTCTCTCAGATAACTGCAGAAGTGTGGCTAGCCATCTGGGAAGAAGTCTTCTGTGGCAAAAGTGTGGTTTTCCATCCCAGTGCTGAATGAAGGCGCACTCTCTCTTCTTGAAGGAGGTTAACTTGGTAATACTGGGTTTCTCCCAGCTCCCTCTGACAGGTCATCCATTTTCTCCAAATAAAGCCAAATAAAGCAACCCCCAGAAATCTCAAGTTTTGTGATATAAAGAGTCAGGGGAAGTCTGCTCCTCATTTCTCTTAAGAGCCAAATGCTAAATGGCAGTTTCCTCTTGGGAGTATCCTTTTCTGATAAGTATTAACCCACATGACCATTCAGTTCCCTGGGGAAATTCCAATGTGTTTTAGACTGTGCAGATTAACCTTCTGATTTTCCTTCCAACTATTATTTGTTCTTGGAGACAGGAGCAGACGCACAGCATCATAACCAGGAAATGCACCCCTTGAAAGGCATCTCTGTCTATAGCAAGGACGCCTTGTCTTAATAAACACGATTAAATGATGGTGCAGTACAACAAAGTGGGGCAAAGAAAGGGGGTGACATTCAAACCGTTGGGTTAGGAATGGAACTCGAAATGTTTGCATTAGGCACAGACTCGGGCTGTGGTCCTATTTCTTTATGATTTAAGTCACTTTACCATCAGGGCGTTGAGTCTATGCAGCTGAACCAAACCCAAGTGAGATGCTGGGTGGTGGTTTGCCACAGAGATCTCACTTCCCCCTCATTTAAGTCCCAACATCTAGACTTGGGTTAGGGGTGGGAAATAACTCTGATTCTGGCTGTAGGTGCAATTCAGCTTTTACAGAAAAAAAATCCCACTGATATTTTAATCCATGGCTGACTCCAATTTCTATTTCTCAAAGGATTCAAAATTGATAAAGGGGTGAATTAACATATGAAAACCCCTGGTGCTCTCTAGGTACTGAGGAGCAAAGCTTTCTAAAGAGCTTTGAGAAGTTAGGGATGTATAGAATAAAAATTACTGCCAGGAAGTGTCAGGACTAGAGATAAAGTAGTTGGGGACTAAAGTACAAAGAATTCTATATTTTAAACTATGGACCTTTGACTTTATCCTATAACAAGAGAGAACCATCAAGAGAGTTTTTAAGGGAGTGAAATATTAGATTTAGTTTTTCTAATGATCCTTGATAGTAATGTGGAAAGTTAAGAACCTCAAAGTAAGGAGATGAGTCAGGAAGTAAATATTTCAGGTCCAATGAAGGTTTCATAACAAAGGCAGGGGTAGGCAATGGAGAGGCACATGAGATGTTATGCTCGCAGAAAGTAGGAATGCCAGCATCCTGATGACACCATGGGTGCACCTGCTTCTTCAGAATCTTCATTGCAGCGGGAGAAAAATAATCCCTATCTTGTTTAAACTCATCATTTCACTTTGCTTTTATATGTAGGTGAACTCAATCCCTAGCTGATGCAGGGGGATACTGGTAAAATAGGGACTGTCAGTGGGAAGTCAGGATTGAGCAAAGGCAAGCCGGTTGCCAAAGTTAAGAAGAAGCTAACAACTCCGAGGAGTTGCCTTTGACCACAGGAGTCAAACTTAGAAAGCATGGAAGGGATGGAATACATGAGGCAGTCCAGGTGTAAGAAAAATCATCTGCCAGAAGCAAAGACTGATTTTACTGAATAATGTACTAAGCACAAATAATTCAAATATGGGTATAATACTGGAAACTAGATTTTAAATTTAAAATGATGAAAGAGATCAACTGAAACAGAAATACTTTTTAAAATGCATTTCCTAAGTAATCACTCTTCTAATTTAGAGTTGAACATTTTTCCTCCTCTTTCATTTCTCTTCCTCCCTGCCCCCTTTCCTTCTTTTCTTCCACTTCATTTTTTCACAGATTTATTTATTTATGCATACAAGAATTGGGGTACAGGCCAGAGGTGCGGGGGGCGGTGAGGAGGATTCACCAGAGACAGAGTAGGGAGCAGAACAGGCGGACTGACTGAAAGACACTGCTGAGGGGAGCCGCGGGTGAGGAAGGAGAGGTCTGCTGTATCATGTGGGTAGCTCCCTGGCCAGGGATCAAACTCGTGCTGCAGTGGAGGCAGACAGCTTCATAGGGTGTGTCTTAACCCCTTGCAACACCAGGGAGGCCCCTTTCCTTCCACTTCAATATCTGGTTTTATTCTTTGAATCATGTGAGGTATGGAATGGCCTGAACTATGTACAGCCCATTCCCTAAACTCATGTTCAAGCTCTAGCCCCCAAGGCGACTGACCATAATTGGACACAGAGCATTTAAAGAAGTAATAAAGGTTAACTGAAGTCTAAAGGGTTGGACCCTTATCCAGTGGATTGGTATCCTTATGAGAGGAGAAAATCTGGACAAACACAAGATACACCAGAGATGTGTGTGCACAGAAGTGAGGCTAACAGGAGAAACCCAACCTGTCAACATTTTGATCTTGAACTTCTAGCTCCCAGAAGAATAAGAAAATTAATTTCTGTTGTTTAAGCCACCTAATCATTGGCATTTTGTCATGGTGGTCCAGGAAAAGTATTACAAGGTATACAATTCAATTTAGATTCCTTTTATAGAGAGTATGTCTAGTTTTATTCATTTACATAATGAAAACCAGGTCTTCCCCAACATACACATTTCTGAAAACAGATGAAATTTTGATATATGTAATGATTTTTATCTTCAGGGTAACTATACTTCAGATATTTGTAAAATCTTGTAGTACAACATTGTACTATTTGCATTTCCACAATATAGTACAGATTAACATCTTCTATTTGTAACTCTTGATTCACATTCAGGATTAATTTTGAAAAGCAAACTAAACAATGTTGGGTTAAATTCATAAAGTCTGAAATTAGAGAACAGTTTTAGAATTCAATCTTCAACTTTAAAATTTTGGGACTGTAGTTCTTGCCATTACTTTCAGTTTTGGAAGCCAGTTTTAGTATAAGAGAGTGAGCCAGATAATTCCCTGCCAAATTTGTTTCCTGAAGACCTAATTTTGTTAGGAATGAGAAAATAAATTCATGCATTCATGTAACTATTTGTAATTGTCCTTGCCAAGAAACAGCCAGGGTTTAGATGAGACTGTGGTTTTAAAATGGCAGAGCAAAGGTAGTTCTATCTTCCCTCAGAAATCATCTCAAAACAAAAAGGGATGACATTACATTATATATTTGTTGAATGAATGAAAAAGATGAGCTTGACAATTTGGACAAGCAGCAGAGAATAAGAAAAATGTGGTTGCAGAGACATCAATTCCTGACCCAAAGAAAAAAAATGCAACATCTCCTGGAAACAGGGCAACTACCATGGGTTGAAAGGCATAGTAGGAATGTTCCAGGTCCTCCTGGGATACAGTAGAGTCTGTTGAGAAGCTGGAGGGACAGGTCAGAGAGAGATCTATAGCTCAACATGATATTTACTAGGAAAATCAAGCATATTTATATGTCTTGTATTTTAAAAGTCAACTTCACAAGCACAGTCTGGAGAGATCTGTTTTAAACTAATATATAAGTAAATTAAAAAAAAAAAAAACACAGATTAGATCTTGGCAAAAAAATGCTCAAAATGAATGACAGATACAAAGAGATGGCCAAAATTCTTATGTCGAGGTAGCTGCAGTGATAGGTTCTGTCTTCAAGGATGATGATGACAGCCTGCATTTGCTCTGGGCTGTCAGACAATTGTGTGACTTTGCTTTCTGAGTATTTCATTTTAGTCAGGATAGCCTTAAACTTGAACATATTCAGAAGAGAAGCTCCCATGGTGATATACTCAAGAGTAAGTCATATGAGGAACAGTTAAAGGAACTGGAGCTATGTTGCTTGAAGAAGGAAAGACTCAAAAGAGGCATGATAGCTGTCTTTAGGTATCTGAAGGCTGTCAAGCAGAAAGGGCGTGAGTGTAGTTTCCGATGATCTTGAGGGTAGAACTAGGACTAATAGGCAGATGCTGCAGGCAGACAGATTTCAGCTCAATACAACTGAGAACTTTGTAGCTGTCAGAGCTATGTGGAGACGGGAGCGCTGCCTCCCTCTTAGGGAGCAACCTGCCACCACAGGTGCTCCAGCCCTCGGACCTTTATATCCTTTCTTATCACCAACGCCCTGTGTTTCAATGGCCTTTCGACTTCTGTGTTCACCATGAGACTTGCTTGAGATCTGTTATGTGAAAGTGCTTTGTAAACGCTAATGTGTTTTACAAATGTGAGGTTTTGTGACAATTATTTTATCACCTTGGAGGATTTCAATTCTGCCTGTGGTGTCATTTTCTCTAACTCTTAGTCTCCCTCTTCAAACTCCTAAAGATTTCTCATTTATAAATGCCAGATTTCATATTATTATGACTACCATTCCCTGTCTAGGAGGACTTCAAATTTTCAATTATTTCAGAAACAATAATTGGTTCTTTTTAATAATGAGGGAAAGATCTTATACTTAATATGTGAGTCATGTTCCTGATCCTGTAGGGTAAAGGAACAGACTAGCTAAGTTTTTACACATCACCTTCTGGGGAGAACTCATTCACATCAATAGTCTCCTCATAAAAATCTGTTGGTTAGAAAAGTCTTTTGTGTCACAAAAAAGCCTCCACGTTAACAATAAACAATAAACAAACAAGCATGTTAATAAATAAACGTCAGGGTCTACACTAATAATTTGACTTGTGTCCTTTATCTAGAGTGTCTTCTGCAGGCCCATCAACTCTCAGGCAATGAGAATATCTGTTACTTTGGTAGTACAGCTGACTCGTCGTAAGTATTACACCACAGGTATTGTGACCTATTGCCATATAACCTAAATTCCTTTTCTATTCTGGGTGTTCAAAATTTGGTCTCCACCAAATGTCAATACCATCTTTAACAAACAAAGACTTGACAATGACTTGATATATCATTTTCTTTCATTTTTCCCTAGCCTGCAGGAGATTTGAAAGAGAGTGACACAGGCAAAGGCACACTAGGAGAACCAAATAGAGGGCAAACTGGATACAGAGTCTCCTAAGAGTAATTAACTAAGTAAGGTGGCAACCCTCATATCCAAATTAGTGTTTTCCCAAATGCTGATGAATGTATTTCATTTCCGGATTAACAAACCCATGACAAAGGGATTCGGAGGCTGGAATTTATACAAAGCATTAGAGAGAAGGTGAAACTCCAATGAGAATTGCAAAGAATTTTTGACACCCTTGTCTTTTGATGTTACATATCACTGGGAAGGAAACAGATTTCTAAAAGCAGCTTTTCATTCTTATTCTACTCAGTCTAATACTTTTTGTATGTTTACATTCTGTTAGTGAGGTTTAACCTTTAAGGTAGGTCATATTTCTTGACATGAAGATGCTGTCTGTGAATAACAATCTCCTGTATACTTTTACGTATTGTGATTACAACTCTCTAATCATGAGAATTTGGGGACACCACCACTAGTTTCTATTAAAAGTCAGAAGGGGGCTGGAATAAATGGGGTCATAAACCACTGGCTAATCCTACCCCCAGCACCCCCAATCCATTTTTGTGGAAAGCTTGCTACAAAATCAAAACAATGGGGGTTGTCACCAGTGAAACCCCTTATTGCATGATTTGCTAATATTAATCTAAACTTGAAGGACAAGCTGCAGATTGAACACTGGGACCTCAGCAGATCGAATAAGGGACCTGCTAGTGTTTGACAAATGTTCATGACTTAACAGCTATAAGGAGGAAGCAATGTATAATAGATGTGTTTACTATCATTGCACTGATGCAGACACAAGTAAAATAAATACTGTTTCCATGAAACAGAAGGTGATCTTTGAGAAACATGGGTTTTGACAATGATAATGAGCTCTGTTGCCCAAAGCTGGACATACCTTGACTCCCATAGCTGGTGTCTATTCCAGAGCCATCCCATGAGTCCACAGCACTGTCTACGCTGGGCACAGCAGAGGGGTACATGTCGGTGAGCTTGCCTGGCTTCTGTGCAAGAGAAGGGTCTTCCTCCACATCCCCCAGGTCACTCAAGTGGCTGGGAACAGGGAATTTCTTGGGACTTGATGCTGACTGGGCTTTAAAGAGAGGAAAGGGATATAAATACCGGAATAAACTTAAGTAAAAGATACTCAAACACTCCTTGGCTGAAGAGTCTTTTTCCTAGAAATACACAATAGGCATTTGTAAATTCTTTCAGGAAAGAAAATGCACTGCAAATCCTTATTTGTGGCTCTTGATCCACTCACCATCTGTCTGTTTCTTAATTTTCAAGGTGACAGTCTCTCCTGCCATCTGCAGCAAATGAATGGCTTCACTCAGAGGCTTCCCTTTCAAGCTGCTGCTGTTGATGGCTAAGATTCGGTCTCCTATGTGGATGGCACCAGTTCTGAAATACCAAATAGTAATAGGAAAGGTAGAAATAATTCCTGCATGTGACTTAGTACAAATACTTGACATACTTTATATATTCATAGTAATAAAGACTTGGCAAGGGCCTCCAGAAGCCACTTCTAGCTCTCTCCCGGGCAACGTTACAAGATAACTGCATCTGTTGTGAATTACTTTTCAGTTTCAAATAAAATTAGAAAAATTGTTTTAATTAGTATTTAAAATGTACTTCTGTGCTTCTTAAATTCCAAGAAAGCTGAATCATTTGGTAGCCCTCTTAAAAATCCCAAGGAAACCAACATTGTTGGGCAATAAATGTAGTGATGTTCAGAAGGGAGCTTTCCTCCTTTCTGCAGATTTAAAATACTGAAAACGAGCAGCGTCCCCACCTCACCCAAAGTGAGGCGGAGAGAGAAGGGAAACATACATATATCAGGCCTGGAGTGGCAGGGTGCCCCCTGTTGGTGATCCCAAGAATAGAAAAAGGCTGTATGTACTCAGGAATCCAAGTGTGTCTGAACCTAACTCTGGCACCTCCCAGCTGTGTGAGCTGGGTATCTTATTTTAACCTTCCTGGGTGTCAGTTTTTTCATCACTACAATGGGGATAATCAGCTCACAGGAAAACCCTGAGGATGAATTAGAAAAACATCAAACACACTCCTTGAAGCATGGAAAAAAAACAACTTATCAATCAATAAACTAAAGAGCTTTTGCTATTTTCCCTTTTCTTCCTTCCTCATCCATTACTGAACTTGGAGGTTATATACTGATGTTCTAAAAGAGGAACTCAAATATAGCTATTATTTCCTAAGCGCCAAATTTTAATGAAATAATAGTTTCATTAATGTAAGGTAAATTCCCATCACAAAGCTCTGTACAGAATTGCTTAAGTTGAATTTATGGTTATCAATTGGCTGAAGGAGTTAATAGAAAGTAATTATATATATATATATAGGGAAAATTTGTAAATTGCAAAAATAAATGTGAAAGAGTGAAAAAAATCACTGTGATAATAAAAATATATTCATATTCTTGAATTATAATACTGTTTATAACTATCCCTTGGTGTGAATTACTTTGTTACAATTCAAATACTGTTCACTTGGCTTAATTAAAGTGTTTCTATACTTAAAAAAATAATTTTGATGTTCACTCTATCTTTGTTTGGGATGGAGGAGGATTATCTCCAGGCAGGCCAACTCGGGGATGGAAGGAAAACCCAGGCGGCTCTATCTGGGTTGGAGGTTTTTGTGTCCCACATGTCAGCCTCTTGTACGGGCTCTTTAAAATATGAGTGGGGCCTCCCTGGTGGCGCAAGGGGTTAAGACGCAACCTATGAAGCTGTCTGCAGCCTCTGCAGCACGAGTTTGATTCCTGGCCAGGGATCTGTCCACATGGTGTGGCAGACCTCTCCTGTTCTGTTCCCCACTCTGTCTCTGGTGAAACTCACCCCCTGCACCTCTGGTCTGTACCCCAGCTCTTGTATGCATAAATAAATAAATCTTTAAAAAAAAATACAGCGAGTGGAGGAGTGAGTCCAGTTCACATTGTGACATTGACTGAGTGCTCTGATTATAGCTTGACTCTTGGGGATGGGCAGCCTGTTGGGTAACAGCAATCAGGGCAACAGAGGTGACACCGGGGAATATTAGTTGTTTACAAGCCCACCAATGCATCTACTCTCAAGGAATTTTTTTTCCCCTTAGAAAAGATCACTTCATTCTTTCATAAAGAATCTCCAGTTTACGTGGTCTAGTCACTATGGGAAGTTGTATGGAATTTCTTTAAAAAAATGGATCTACTATAAGACCCAGTGATTCCACTCCTGAGAACCTACAAAAAGGACACAAAAACACCAATTCAAAAGGAAACCTGCACCCCTATGTTTATTGAAGCACTATTTACAATAGCTAAGATATGGAAACAACGCAATGCCCCCAGACAGATGAATGGGTCAGGAAGATGTGGTCTATATACACAATGGAATACTACTCAGCAATCAAAAAGATAAACTCATACCATTTGTAGCAACATGGATGGAGCTAGAAGGAATTATGTTAAATGAAATAAGTCAGAAGGAAAAAGATAAATATCAGATGGTTTTACTTACATGTGCGATATAGAGAAATCAAAAAAAGGTCAAGAAATAGACAAAACTTGCAAGCTGACGAGAGAACTGAGGCATACAGTAAAGGAGGAAGAGGGGGTCAAAACGAGGGAGGAAAGAGTACAAGGGACTCTGGGTGATGGTTCATGGGTGCTGTAGCACTGGGAGAACTACAGGTACTACACCTCAGCAGAGAAATCAAATATGTCCAAAAATTAACAATGTTGTTAAGCAAATTAAAAAAAAAGAACCCCCAGTTTATGAAAAGTCTGTAGTATAATCCATAGAACACCTCGACAGTAAGTTGTTTTTTCCTTTTTCAAAGATTTATTTATTTATGCATACAAGAACTGGGGTACAGGCCAGAGGCACAGAGGCGAGAGGATTCACCAGAGACAGAGTGGGGAGCAGAACAGGCAGATGTACTGAAATACACTGCTGAGGGGAGCAGTGGGCGAGGCAGGAGAGGTCTGCCCCACCGACTGGGGATCGAACTGGTGCTGTAGTGGCTGCGGATAGCTTCACAGTGCTGTGCTTAACCCCTTGCGCCACCAGAGAGGGCCTCTTACCAGCAAGTTGTTGAATCAGATCAGCATTTATCTTTTCTTTGTTTCTAAGGTCTAATGGAGATTCTTAAAATCTATCTGTCTAACAGAGAAAACAAGGACAGAAGGACACCTGAAGTGTATCCACTAATATGAGAATATGAAGTTCCAACTGGGTAACACTTTTAGGAGCTGCCTCAGTGCCCTCATCTGACAGATGGAGCTGTTGGATGAGCTGATTTCGAAGGGACAGTTCAGCTCCCAAATTCTCCAGTGATGCCTGCCCCTACTTTGTAAACCATGTCCTCCAGTGTCAGCACAAATGATAAATGAGCATGCCTGAGCTAGGTTACAGGACAGCTCTAGTTATGGGATTTGCAATATGCCCCACAACATGTCTCAGAAAGAAATGCATTTTAACAGGGGTGGGGAGTAGGAATCATGTGTGCAAATGGAAACAAATCTCCTAAGGAGAAAATGAGCATTCCAAAGCACACGCTCACTGTGCTCTGTTTCCCAAAATCTTTGCAGAGGAAGCCTCTTATCCTCTCCTGAAAACACAGCAGTTAAGTCAGGGAAGAGAGGCTCATTCAGGAAATGTTTGCTGAATTGAATTGGACAAGGCTTTTAACCTCCCTGAACTTTAGTCTCCTTCTCTCAAAATGGACACAATATATAAATCTACCTCCAGTCGATTGTGGTCAGTCTATACATTTCTGGAGACTAATATCAAAGCTAAGCCCGTGACATCTCTTACGGCCTGGAAGATGCCCCTTAAAGGTGAGTCAGGGCTTTGCCCGAGAGTTCTCAAGAGCTAAACCAATCCTTTGTGCAGATTTGAGAGACAACAAATAACCAAGCAGAAAAGAGCAGTGTTTTTATGCGGCTGTGAGGAAAGAGACCATCCCAGACACAGATAATTGTAGCAGTTCCTTCAAATTTTACCTTTCAGCTAATCCCCCTTTAGTGAGGCTTGAAATGATTATAGGATCAAACGGCTCTTCAGTTCCTGAAATCGTGATGCCGAGGGGGCCCCCATAGCGCTTAAGCTCCACTGTATAAATAATTGCTCCGGAACTTTCTTGCTCATCTGCAATAAATGCCAAGGAAGTCAGAATTGGTTTCTTCGGAAAAAGTAAAGCAGTAAGACATAGATTCACACATAAAAGAAGAAATTCAAAACACCATCATTATGTCTCTGGAAATAATTATTTTGGGAGGTAGCATTTCCTTAGTAAGATATTACATCATAGTATGGGATTCAGTCATCATCGGTGCCAGGGAAGGGGTTTGAAGTCTGTGAACAACCCACTTGGTAGGCACTACAGGTCTTTTACACTGTGTTTCTGTGCCCAGAATTTTATAAGTGTGCGACACCTGTGAAATACACATATGGCTGAGGAAGCAATAAGGGAGGAGTGAGTCACACAGTGAATAAGAGATCAATCCAAGCAATTATGATTTTTCAGGCTTTGGAAGCAAGCTAACTTTCAATATAGAAAAGTTGATGTTGCTCAGGGCTGGAGCAAATGTTAACAAAAGTGGGGCTTAGGAGAGGTTGGCTTGGAGACCTAGAATCCCTTATCTATCATCCCACGGAAGGTGTCATAAAACTGTGAAACCCATTGATGGATTTACAAAGATTAAAGCAGAAATCTGAATGATTCTCTCTCTTCTGCTCTTGTAATCTAGAGCCATGTAAGTTCTGTTTCAGTAGCGTTCACCAGGTTGTCACGTTGTCATTCACTACCTTTTGTTATTTCACATCATTATAAAGGAAGACTTTTACCAACGTGTTCTGCCTACAGTGCTGGCCTAAGAGGCGTCGTGGGCACAACTACAACAGAGTTGGGTGTTTTGACTATATCAGGGTCACAAAGATGAAGTCTCATAATTTTAAGACTTTTATTTGCTTATGACATACTTAAAATTCTTGAGCATTTCTTGTTTCATTCCTTGGGCCCGGGAGCTATGAATGGTTAAGGAGCTGTTTTCATTTCTGTATGAAAGGATGTAATGAAATGGTCCAGTAGCTACTTTAACAAAATCGTCACTTTTTACAGTCAGACTGTATTGTAATGAAGCATTAACACAGTCAAGTTTCTGCAATAAGCAGCTGTTCATTTATGATATTAAACCCTAAAATAAGGAGGAAAAGAAAAGCTTGAATTAACAATTCAATTATCTGCGTGTGCAGTGAAGAATTATAATGAATATCAAATGAAGGGTCTATAGATGGAGAATTCTGAACAGATCCATCACCTCAACTTCCTCCATGCTCTATTCCTAATAAGCTCCTGACATAGAATGTTAAAGACCATCTTCCATATAACTACATTGCTTAATCAACGTCTCAGGATATAAAAATCCTCAGTGTTAGACTCAAATTTACATTGGCAGCTGAGAATGCTTTACCCCAAGCCTTCAACAGCTCTGTTTGACGGGTCCCAAAGTTCTTGCAGGTTTCTGTTTAGGTTATGGCCAGCAGGATTGTGAGGGTCTCAAAAAAATGGCAAGATACAGGGTAATAAAAAACCAGAAGCTAAAATAAAAAATCCAATTTTTTATACCATGATATTTCATCATTTTTCAGCACTGCCTTTGACATAAGTAGGGTATTATTGAATAGATTGCATACACTTTGCAGTCTGCCACCAACTAAATTTTGGATAAAAATTCTAGGTGAGTCATTTGATTAAATACTGGTGACAGCTATGCACTCTGCGGTCACTCGGTGTGGCTGTGTATCCCAGAGGGAAGACCCATACCCTCTGTTATCCCCCTCACAGGGTAAGCATGTGCACGACCTACTTAATGAGCACCAGGCTTTCTGGATTTGGCTGTCAGCTCTTTGTGGGTGTTGTGGGGCATGACAGTTGCCCACCACCTAGAACCTCGCTATCGAGATCCCAGGAATGTGCAGAAAGTTTCAGTTGAAACTTCAGTCCCAGATGAAAATAATCCCATGGGAAGCTGAGTTTGGGTGTCATCCCAATCACTGGGAGGAGGGGAGAAGCTGGCTCTAGTCAGCTGACTCATCAGGCAACCCAGAGTGAATGCCCTGTGTTATTTTTAAACAATTCTGCAACTTGCATCACAAAGATGACAAAATAACACCCGAGATGAAGTAAATAAGTTTAGGACATTCAAATTTAGACCAATTTTTGTGGGGACATTTTTAATTAGGCAGCTGATGCCTCACAATAATGGAAGGACAATTATTAGGGCATTCGAGTTTAAAGAGAGATAGAAATGCAAAGCAAGTAAATGGCAGCATCTTAATGAAGAAGGATGTGTGCTGGGACCACGCGGGGTGGAAATAGGAAGAGAAGAGCTTATAGAGATTATAACAGAAGCTGATTTCCAATTTCTTCAACAAGTACATTGCCAGAAATAAAAAGCAGAAAGGGGAATTCGAGAGACATTACAATCAAAAGCAATGCGTACACGTTTTAGGACAGAATTCAAGCCAACTGCTTTAAAATTTACGTCTGTCTCTCTTTGAAAATTAAGGAACACTGGGTCAATATTTTATGACATTAAGAATTATTGCTAGGAAAACCTTGAGAGATGGATTAGTTAGAGGTTTAAAGAGAGCATGAAGTGTTTTCTGAAATGCACGTTACATTCCTTTTCTTGATCTGGTTCTGGCTCTGTAGCTGTGCTCTCTTATTGAAAATAAGCTACACACTTATGATTTGTGCATTTTTTCTGATTATATATACTTATTTATATATAAAATTTTTCCTTGAAAATTTCACTCAGGCCAATTTTTCACAAGTAAATAAACTGAATCTTGCTACAGAAAAGTAATTATTGCTAGTATTTTAAAATGATATTTAGTGATATCTTTCAGAAGTCTTTTAAAAGAACATCACTTAAGAACATTTACAAGCTGCGGGCCTCCCCTGGTGGCGCAGCGCTTGAGCGCTGGGCTGCGAAACTGCCCGCAGCCTCTGCAGCACCGGTTCGATCCCCGCTGGCCGGCAAGGGTCCCACATGGCGCGACAGACCTCTCCTGCCACGCCAGCTGCTCCCCTCAGCAGTGTATTTTGGCAGTCCGCCTGTTCTGTTCCCTGCTCTGGCTCTGGTGAATTCTCTCACCCTCCTGCGCTTCTGACTGTACCCAGTGCTTGTATAAATAAATAAATAAATCTTTAAAACAATAAAAAAAAGAACATTTACAAGCTGGAATGAGATGATGTCTGAATTTCTTCAAAACAATTCAGTGTGTGGTCAGGGAGGGGAAATTAGGGTTAGGAGTACAAACATGAAGCCAAACTGATCCTTAGTTAATACTTTTTGGTGCTAGGTGATGTATGATGATTCAGTACACCATTTTCTCTATTTTAAATGTATTTGAAGTTTTCATAATAAAAATTCTTTTAAAAGTAAAGCATTTAATTCCCTCCAAAAATTTTATGTGGATGCTTTGAGAAAATGGATAATTAATTTGTTTGGCTTCCCTGCTTTCATAGATGATGTGGCACTGGCTGCCTACACACTATTTCACCCACATTCCATGGCCCATCTGCCCACCAAGAGCCTCCCCCTGCCTGGAAGGACAGCCTCTGGAGGACAGCCTCATCATAGCTCTGTCCAGTTTTTCGTAACGTAACATTGGAATCTTCTTAAATTGCCTCCCTTGAGAGGCAACCTTTGCCTCACGCTTCCACGTTCATTTTCACCAGTGTTGCCAATCTATAGTTTCTTCTCTTCAAGGAATATTTTTAAGGCATAAATCTGAATCTGCTAGCTAATCTCTCACTTGAACTTTTCATTTATCCCCTAATTCCTTAAGAAACGCAATCCTTTCACAGCTTATTGGGAGCCTCTATGTGTCCAGGGGCTCCAACATCCTCCTTCATCCCGATCCAGTCTTCCCAATTCTCTCCAAACCACTTGCCATTTCTTAAAAAGCCCTTTTCTAACTTCTTTAACCTTGCACACATGACTTCCTGTGCATAAACACCCTCCCTTCCCCTTGGAGAACTTCAACTCTTTCAAATGTCGTTCAGCTGTCTGCTCTTTCTGGTGGGGCTCAGTTCTTTCGATGAGAGTCCACAGCTCCTGTGTATTCTTGTGATGTTGCTCAACTTTATTATTTTTTTTTTAAAGATTTATTTATTTATTTATACATGCACTGGGTACAGTCAGAAGCGCGGGAGGGTGAGAGAATTCACCAGAGCCAGAGCGGGGAGCAGAGCAGGCAGAAGGACCGAAGTACACTGCTGAGGGGAGCAGCGGGTGGCAGGAGAGGTCTGCGCACCATGTGGGACCCTCCTCCAGTGGCCGGGGAGCAGCCGGGGATTGAACCGGCGCCGCAGAGGCCGCGGGCAGCTTCACAACCCAGCGCTCAACCGCTGCACCATCCGGGAGGCCCCTCAACTTTAATCTTAATTCTGTTTCTTCTTCCCTCTCACCAAGGAGAAAAAAATCATATTTAAATTCTCCCTCATGAGAAATGAAATAGGAAGGACTAGGAGTCATTCAGGTAGGGCTGGACATTAGAGGGCCACAAACCATTGTAATATAAAATTTAAAAGTCTTTGCTCCCCAAGAATGAATTTTTCCTCCCAACAAGAAGTAAGCGCTAGTATATACTTTGCATTTTGTTTTAATTGTCTCTAACTTATCTTTTCCACTAAAATAGAATCAGATTGAAAAATGGAGATTTTTTTTTTTTACCTTCTTATTTCTAAAGCCTAGAACTAAGTCTGTTACAAAGGAGACCAGTAAAGACCCAGACAAATGAGTGAAAGGATGTAAGTTAGCTTGCAGTGACTGATTCCGAGGGACGTGGTCTCTAAGAGACTTTGTGAGTCATCTTCTTGTTCTATCACAGCATCAAGGTTAGTTTCCTCCTCCAAGGTGAAAAAAACGCAATCTGGCTTCTTGTCAAAGTTTGACAAAAAGACTTGGGCTGCCATGGTGGGAACCAGCAAGCCTAGAGCATCCTCCCCCTTCACAGTCCCAATAGCATCTGAATCAGCTTCAGGCTGCATTTTCAATTCCATCTGCCTTCTCGGGCTTTAACCCAACTGGCAGCTGTACGACCTGCAGTTTAGGAGGAGGGTGATAACTGCCAGT